TAACCAGTAAAGTTTATGTAATTAATGGCGAAATCTCTTCGCTAACAAATCTAATAGAGCATTAACTTACTAATCATTCGTTCAATGACGCGATCCCTATGTTTAAAATTGTAAGATGGATTTGACGCTCCAGTGCTGCGGAACATCAAATCCATTGATTGAAGAGATTTCGCCATTAATTACATTAACTTTACCGATTAATTCTTTGTATATATATATATATATATATATATGTGTGTGTGAAAAGTGTGTGTATATAAACATAAATATATATATATGTAATATATTATATATATTGTTATATCTAATATATATATATATATATATATATATATAAAGAGAGAGAGGGAGAGAGAGAGAAAGAGAGAGAGAGAGAAAGAGAAGGAGAGAGTTAATATAAGTAAAAGTTTGTAATTTAGATGATTGATGTTACCTTCAGCACCTGACTCCAGTATATATTTCTAAAGAAAGCAATGGCTTTTTTGTCTATTAATCCGACGGATTTTATAACTTAAACGTTATTATTAATGGATACTCATATTTGAGTAGACGCTCTGGTTATTTATTAAACAGTATATGTATTTATTTTCGTCTACTGGCCTGAATATTCGAGAAATCTTATTAAAATAAAATATGTGCTTAATATATATATATACATATATATATATATATATATTAATATGAAGAAAAATATACAGAAAAAACAAACAAAAATCTTAATAAGCAATTATACTGTATTAATGTTAATATAAAGTCAACGTCGGACTTTATATTAACATTAATACAGCATAATTGCATATTAAGATTTTTGTTTGTTTTTTCTCTATATTTTTCTTCATACTGTCGGATCTAAATCCATATATTTGCTTACATACTGTCTACTGGAAATACAAACCTGAATTTACTTTATAACATGGAAGACTTCAAGCTTGTACGAAAATATAAGAATCTATTGATCAAGTAAGGAAAGGATTTATTAAAGAACTGTTTTAAAATTGTTCCATCGTGCCTGTCTGATATTTTGAAATCATTTTTGATTTGCATTGTAACGTGGAGGACTTCAAGCTTGTATGAAGATATAAGAATCTATTGATCTCTGCGTATTCCTATATCAACGGAAGGGATTTCTTGAACTGTTTATATAAAATAGTTCAATCGAGTTTTTTAATATTTTAATATTTGGAAATCATCTTCGAATACGTTTTCACAACATCGCCCACGTGACGACGACGTGATCATATTTAAACGGAACGCTGATCTTATATAAAAATTTCAGTTATCTGTTTGGATTAGTTGTGCTCTTATGTCCATCATCTTTTCATGTTGAATTTTATATGTTCTAATGTTAATTATGTTTAATGAAAATGTCCTGAAGATGGTGTAAAATAGACCGAAACGTCCGACGTTGACTTTATATCAACATTAATACAGCATAATTGCATATTAAGATTTTTTATTTTTTCTGTATATTTTTCTTCACACTGTCGGATCTATATCCATATATTTGCTTACATATTATTAATATATACATTATATTATTACTATATATGTATATACATACATTTAGTAGACATCTCTGATTTTTTAAATAGTATAGTTTTTATCTATCAACCTGGGTTTTCTATAGTCTTTAATAAAGACGATGTGCCCTCCGGGAGGGTTCGAACTTTCCGTCAGGTTTGGAACGTGCTGAAAAGTACACTGTCTTTACTAATGACCCTCGAAAAGATACACCGTTAGGTGACAATGATACTGCGTAAAAACTCAGACGTCTACTCAAACACGTGTAACCACTAAATAAAACGTATGCAGTAATAAGCAATAAAGTTGAATTATAAATAAGATTCCATTCAATGAAAATTTCACATATGCACACACACACACACACCCACACACACACACACACACACACACACATATATATATTTATAGTCTAAACAATGCTTTTAAGAGAAATCCTTTTCGTCATATATTCCTTGAAATGATTATATCTGTTCAGTTTCGTATCGAAACGTAAACAGGATAATTTTCCAAAGAAGTTAAAGATTTTTTATTTATTAATCCAATAGATTTTTATCACTTTAAACATTATTTTTAGTGGATATTCATATTTGAGTAGACGTTCCGTTTATTTATTAAACAGTATATTTATTTATTTGTTTTTGTCTACCAGACTGAATATTCGAGAAATAATGACTGAAACGTACTGTTCAGACCTTGCTTGACCGGCAAGGCTTCTTCATTAAATTACGTTGAATCTAACAGCGGTTTCCCTCTGCCTAGGAGGACACACATATATATATATATATATATATATATATATATATATATATATATATATATATATATATGTGTGTGTGTGTGTGTGTCTATTCAACAGGTCCCCGTATGCTGAATAGACAAGTCGCTAGACAGCACTCGCGCATCAACTTCGCAAACAAAGTGTGTCTCCTGGATCGCAGCTACATCTACATCAAAGGACAGGAGATCACGAAGCAGACGGGCAGCCTTACTCCGATCCCTCAAGCCGCTCACATTTAAACTAGCGAAATGAGAAACACACACACACACACACACACACACACACACACACACACACACACACACATATTTAACTACATTTAAGGATTTTTGTTTGTTTTTCAAAATTTCTTTCATTCTGTATTTGTATCCATTTGCATATACACATATATATATATATATTGGAAATTGTATGACAGTAGAAAAAGTTTACTTGTGACGCGTTTCGTCACTTAGGAATTTGTTATAACAAATTTAGCCCGATAAAATCCTGAAGTTTTTCCACTTTGTCATACAATTTCCCCGCTATTGATCTTAATATATTTAAAAATATATTGTTATCTCAAATATGTATATATTTAATAGCTGTATATTTGGGCTGCAATCCCCCTTTTATATAATTTTCATTAAAAACGACTTTTAATTTTACGCCCCGAAAAGAAGAAAATGATAAGAATACATGAAAAATTAAATAAAAAAAAAAAAAAAATTTAACCGTTCTTGGCAGTCTATTTTAATGAAACTTGTATATACAGTATATATCTAAAATACTTTTACAAACTTTGAGAGGCTGGTTTCTCATACCAAAAGAAGGATAAAAGTTCATATAATCATATGACATATGCTGATATTTGGATCGTCTCCGACAGCGTGTAGTATGTGTTCTTCGTGGTCAAGCTTACGAGCGAATCTCGGTCTATCTCGATCCATAGTTTGAGGTGCCACAGATCCTATGTCAGCAAAACAGCAGCAAAGGTTGGATAACTCGGCAACCTTCGGTCTGGAAATGCAATCAGATACAGCCGTGCAGCCTCGCGTCCATTAGCATTCGCGCGGCGGTATGTAAAAATTACATCAGCCTGCTCACGATACGAATATCCTACCATTGTTGAACGGTATACTTCTTAATTAACTTATTACTACATACGTTAAACGTTGAAGAGAGACTATGCACAAATGTACACGAATGACAAACGTAACCTAGTCTAAATGGCAACACAGCGCCATCTGCAATAAACTTTCTTTAAACTTAACGATGGATTTGCGGAAATAGGCTTATATGAACTTTTGTCTTTGTTTTGGCGCGAGGAAGCCGCCCGAAAGTTTGTAAAATTATTTTTGATACACTATATATACATACATACATATATATATATATATATATATATATATATATATATATAATATAAATAATATACTCTTAGGTGTGCTATATTTATGGGATAAAGTGCTCAATATCAGAGACAGAGCGTGTGTAAATATAAGAGTGAACATTGAAGTCAACACTTATATATATATGAGCACTGTATTGAGCACTTTTTATATATCTGTTTATCTTTGGGGGGAATGGGGGTACGGTAATTTTCCTTTCCTTTTCAAATGTATTTTGTTATATATATATATATATATATATTGTGTATGTGTGTTTGTGCATACGGAGTGTATGTGTGTCTGTTTTCCTTTCGTATGTGTGTATGTGTGTACGTGTGCACAGACCTATTTTTTCATTTATCATACCTCAAATATCCATCTCACGCCTGACCAACGGTATCTAGAAAATATATATATATATATATATATATATATATATATATATATATATATATATATATATATATATATATTACTGGCTTTTGAGTTTTGGAAAGCATCCCAAAAATTCGCTCGACTTCTCAACCAGGAGAAGTACTTATGAATTATTATTTACGTTGGAATGAAACGAAATAACGGAACATTGGTCTAGTGGAGAAACGCGTCCATACGTTAAAATACGAAAAAATGTTATTCATTTATTTATTGGAAAGCCGGGGTCATAATTATCTCGCTTTTTATTTTGGACTTTTTTTAAGTTTGTCGGGTATATAGGAAATTTTTATTACTCGTAGTAATTAGGGGTAGGCACAGAGTGTATATTGTAAAAAAAATGTACTTGGTTCAATACGAATGTAAAAGTCATATCGTCTGTTTTTACGCTTCCATTACTGTTTCCTCAGCCCCTTTCTTATATCTTTCTCTTGAAAGCTTTCTCCGTACCCGTGGCAAAGTCATACTGAAATGATTAATGTCTAATTCTGTGTAAAGAAGTGAAGCAGAAAACCTGGAATTGAGATAGACCGTTTTCTTTGCCTTTTGATATCATTTCTTCGAAAACAGAGAGCTTTTCTTGGAAGTTGAATAACGAGACCAGCTCTTATCACAGTATTGTTACCGGGACGAACACCAGAAGGCATATGATTACACAGATACACGGTGAGAAAGAACTCAGCAGAAATCCGCCAGATGGCGTTGTTTTCAAAATTAATCCAACATGGTTCGAGGGAGAACAGGATCAGTTCTGTAATCAACCAAGATGGTTATTGCCTTTCTGGAAGACATATTTGTTAAGGATTTGGTAATTTAATTTGAATTTTTTGTTAACTCTCCTAGAAAAGCGCTTCCTGGACAGATTCTTCTCTTTTTGACTCGCTTCATTTTGCTTAGGGCCACATCACGCTGAAATACGGTTCCCGTACAATCAGCGAAGTTAAGCAAGACCGAGTTTGGTCAGTACCTAGATAGGTGACCACTTGGGAAGATAAGGTGCTGTAAGTTTGGATATGCCGGTGGTGTAACGGATAACTGCTCGGAATTGTTAACCGGAGAGCCGGTTTCTAATCCACGCAGGGTTCGTTATATTCGCTTACACGTGAACAACCTTGGGAAAAGTATGGATCCAAGTTTTCTCCCAACCCCAGATCTGGGTTAATTTTTAAGACTTGCATTACTAAACCATTATTATTTCACCCCTAAAATATTGCAATCTAATAATTTCTGGTTTAAAAAAAAACAGCAAAGCGTTGATAAGCCTTAGAAAACTAATCAGTCAATCAAGTGCTGATTAACTACACAAACATGTCTTTTAGATTTATTGACATTCTCTGGAATATAAATGTGTAGAAACTACATTGGACACAAAGTGAGGGATTGATTTATATATTGATTATGATATAGAATTGATATCCCACTTTATACCCACATTATAATTTCTTGTTATTTTATCAAATTCTGATCAGGCATGAATCCACCTATTCTCTCTTCTATGGGTTAATTAGTAAGACATGTATCACTAAACAGTTATTATCTAAAAGATAATCTTACAATCTAAAATATTTTCTGGCTTTCAATAACCTGCAAAGAGTTGATAACCAATAGAAAACAATTCAATCAATCATAGAAAGTTAGGAAAATCGATATCCAAATCCTTGACTCGAACGCTAATCTTGGCCGATGCGATTTTAATCTTTATTTAAAATTGCACTGTTGTTTAATGATTATCCCAGACCAAATTTCAATTTGTTCTCGACCTTTCTACAACCATCTTGAAGTAGGGTAAGTATACGTTCTACTCTCAAATGGAGTATCTACACTTTTCAGTCTTGATAGAGTTCAAAAATATCTACATGGCTTTGTGAGGTAATGAACTAGTTCTCACTTTTCTCATAGACAAAATATGCATAAAAGAAAAACTGTTACACACACACACACACACACACACACACATATATATATATATTTAGGCAGCATATATTCATTCAAGCATCATGTTTGGTTGAATAATTTGGTTTGGTTGTGGACTATTTCTAGACTTTTTATTTTTATTTTAATCTTCTCAAATTCTTGGATGAGATTGAAAGTACTTGGGAAATAAAAGAAATGTCGAAATCTACGGAACCTTCTTTAATTAGTTTAATAACAACATTCAGAAGTTTATTCTTGAATTTGCGAGGATTAAAATAAAAATAGATATAATCTGTCTATACTATTCAATCATATATATATATTGTTGAACCTTGGATAAGCATGGAATAATAATAATACAACACAAAATGTACGTAAACAAAATGTATTGAAACAAGGAAAAGGTACACAATATTTACAGTTAGTTTTGGTATATTCTTGGGAAGACTGTTCCTGTAGAATGGGTTGACTTAATCGCAGTCGGGCAGAGTCTCTGGATTGGCTCTCTTGTTACTTCCCTCGTCTTCCCGGTACCAACCCATATTTATATGGTCGGTACTCCACTATGTAAATTAGGTGGATCGTATATATATATATATATATATATATATATATATATATATATATACAGTGGGTAGCAAAAGTATTTAACACATTGGTTTTTCTTACATATCTCAAAAAATAACAGATCAATTTCAACGAAACTTATTGGAAATATTTAAACGAACATTCTCGATCAAAACATAGAAGGAAAACTTAAAACCACTGTTTTGAGAAACATTTATTAACAATAAATAAAATAACCCATATGCAAAAGTATTTAGCACACTTTACTAATATTTAGTACAGTAGCCTCTGTTCTGCTTCACAGCCTCCAGTCGTTTCCCTTAATCTTCAACTAGTTTCTTGCAGGTACTTGTTGGTATTTTGACCCGTTCTTCTTCACAAATTTTCTTCAATTTGTTTAAATTCGATGGATTTCTTTTATGAACTCGTAACTTCAATAGTTTCCACAAATTTTCGAGTGGATTTAAATCCGGTGACTGGCTTGGCCATTCCAGGACATTAATGTCATTATTATTAAACCAATTCTTAGTTGTTTTAGCAGTATGCTTCGGGTCATTGTCTTGCTGAAATACAAAATCACGACCATGTCCCAAAGATGTGGCACTGTTCAAGAGTTGAGTTGACAAAATTTGAGTGTATTTTGCAGCATTCATTGTTCCTTCGATGATTTTCATTTTTCCTACTCCATTTGAGGAAAAGCAACCCCACATCATAATATTTCCACCCCCATGTTTGACTGTAGGGATGGTATTTGCTGGCTAGTATTCCGTTCCTTTTTTCTTCCATACATGAGTGCGCCTGTTTCATCCGTAAAGCTCAATTTTCGTTTCGTCTGACCAAATTACTTTCTCCCAGAAATCATTAGATTCAATTTCATATTTCTTTACAAAATTCAAACGGGCTTGTAGATGTCGGCGTTTCAGTAATGGAGTCTTTCTTGGTGATCTTGAAGTGAGACCTGCACGATTCAGTGATCTTTTAATTGTTTCTTTACTAACTTCAATTCCGGCATTTTTCAAATCATTCTGAATTTCTCGACGAGTTGAAAATGGATTTTTCTTCACAGTACGGGAAATGTATCGCTCATTAGCCTCATTTAAGATACGGGGACGACCACTCCTTTGAACGTTTTCAATAGTATCGAATTTTTTCCATTTTCGAACAACAGCACCATCTGTACTCACAAGCAAATTCAAATCTTGAGCGATTTTTCTATATCCCTTACCATCTTTGTGATTCTTTATGATCTTCTTGCGCATGTTGTTCGACAATTCATTTGTTTTCACCATTTTCTTGCAGTCGTGGCAACAGAATAGCTGCAGTGTCTCAGAGCTGTTATCTCATAGCCAGTTGAGTGTCGTGCAGTGATGTCATTGGTCGACATATCACATCATATCAATATGGATAGGAATCATGACGACACGTCTCTTCTAGCATAATATTTGCATTGGTGTTAAATACTTTTGAATATGGCTTATTTTATTTATTGTTAATAAATGTTTCTCAAAACAGTTGTTTTAAATTTTCCTTCTATGTTTTGATCGAGAATATTCGTTTAAATATTTTCTATAAGTTTCGTTGAAATTCATCTGTTATTTTTTGAGATATGTAAGAAAAACCAATGTGTTAAATACTTTTGCTACCCACTGTATATAGATTTGGGTAGCAGTTTTTCTTTTATACATATTTAACTGAAATGTGACGGACAAGGAAATTGTATAAGTTTTTTTCTAATGTTCTTACTGGCTTTCATTTCTTTGCACTAAATGAGTGCAGAAAGTATCCGTGGTGATTATTACACCCAGCACTTTTGTCATATTCAAGGGGTTAGTCGTAACTATATTTTTCTGTGTTTGCGTTTTAGATAAAGCAATTTAAGCCAAGCTTACCTCATTTGAAACTGGACGGAATGTACTTGCTGTACCCCACCCTCAACATAGAATTACTACTACTACTACCATTCAGTACGCCTTAGAATTACTGCTAGTTCTACATGATGACGATGGCGACAATGACGAATGAGTTTTTTAATGAACATATATATATATATATATATATATATATATATATATATATATATATATATATATATATATAGTATAGGTAATAGATCTGTTGGTATATAATCCAGGTGGATCCTAATAATATCAAATATTAAAACTCATCTACAGAGAGCTCAATGTATTTATTATAACAGAGCATATATATTACAGAACAAAATAGGCTATACCTACATGAGGTAATTTTGGATTTTTTGCTGTGTAATATATATATATATATATATATATATATATATATATATATATGTGTGTGTGTGTGTGTGTGTGTGTGTGTACAGTGCTGGCATCCTAATGGTTCGTGCGAACCGATTCTTAAAATGATAAAAGCTTAGCGAACCGGTTGTTACATTATACGAAAATAAAGTTATATATTAATAGCCGATATATAATAGCTAAAAATATAATTAATACCGTTGCTGTAAGATTTGCGGAGTTTGAAAGAGGGTTTTCTATGATGAATATGATTTATTCTGACAAAAGAATTCCTCTTGAAGTTAAAAATGTGGCAAGTCTTCTAGCCGTAAACTTGATAGATCTTCCACTGGGCTACAGCGATTCAGTTCGAAGAAACCATAGCACAGCTGATGACACTTAGAGTCAAAAAGCATCGTACTTCTGAAGAGAAATATGATGAGAACAGAATTTCATTCTGGAAATATCTTAATAAATAAATGTTTTCTATTACATTATCAAAATGGTTTAATTCTTATTTACATTGTTCGGACTATTGTCGTCATCCTCTTTGCCATATTCACGATATTTCACTAGTTGCACGATCCGACCAGTGGATTGGAATTTCGAACTGAGACCTTTATTACATTCACCGGGGTAGATTGTTCTAGTTCTACGACTCTTTCTGATGAGTTAGTTATCTCGAAGTTTTTTTTTTTGTTCACTTCTGCACTACCGAGGTATTGAACACACAATTCTTTAGGTCAAGTCACTTTCTTTCTTTCTTTCTTTCTTTCTTTCTTTCTTTCTTTCTTTCTTTCTTTACCGCAATACAGCCAGTACATTCCGTCCAGTTTCAAAGGAGGTAAGCTTGGCTTAAATTGCTTTATCTAAAACGCAAACACAGAAAATATATACTAACGACTAACCCCTTGAAAATGACTAATAAATTGAACAAATATGCTGGGTGTAATTATCATTATTGTCGTATAATGTAACAACCGGTTCGCTAAGCTTTTATCATTTTAAGAATCGGTTCGCACGAACCAGTAGGATGCCAGCACTGTACACGCTTTCAACGCTTTTATCCACTGCGCCATAAGGTTTAGGTTTTTTGATACTATAAAATGATTTGTTTCCATTTTCAAATTGAAAAGGAAATAATCAGAATAGGTTCTTAAAGATTACCTGCCTTTTATAGAATGTTCAGACTATTACGAGGTAAGCTTCACTCTGGCACGTAGACGGTGGAAACCTATTCTCACACCTTACGTAACCCATTGATTAGAAGGA